CCCCATCACTGGCTCCAGTCCCCCGTACCTGCATGCCCCCATCACTGGCTCCAGCCCCCCGTACCTGCATGCCCCCATCACTGACTCCAGCCTCACGTACCTGGATGTCTCGTCACTGGCCCCTGGCCCTGTGCCTGGATTCTCCTGTCACTGGCCCCAGCCTCCCGTATCTGCATGCCTCCATCACTGGCTCCAGCCCCCTGTACCTGCATGCCCCCATCACTGGCTCCAGCCCCCCGTACCTGCATGCCCCCATCACTGGCCCCTGCGCCCCGTACCTGCATGCCCCCATCACTGGCCCCAGCCCCCTGTGCCTGGATGCCCCCGTTACTGTCCCCTGCCCCCATACCTGGATGCCCTTTAGGTTCATCCGGCGCTTGGGTGGGTGGTAGGGCAGGAAGTACTTGCTGTCCTCAGGTGACTCCTCGGACGTGGAGGAATCATCTGCCTCCTGGCCATTGGTCCTGGGGTTGGCGTCCCCGAAGCTCTGGGCGATGATGGTCACGGGCAGGTTCCGGGGTAGGCTCTGGCAAAGACAGGGCAGGATGGACAGCCACAGGTCAGCTGACCACAAGGAGTCCCCACACTAGTCAGCAAAACCTGTCTCCCTTCAGTCCCATGTCCTTCAGCTGTCCAGGCCCATGGACCCAGCCCCACCCTCTCTGGCCCCCACTCCTGCTTTCTGTCACTGGCTTCCACTGGCTTGCTCAGATCTGCCTCTTTGACAGGGGAGCCCTGGTGGTCTAGTCAGGTGTCTGGCTATTAACCAAAAAGTTGGAGGTTCAAACCTACCAGCTCTGAGAAAGAAAAGTAGTCCACTCCCTTTAGATTTATGGCCTCAGAAACCCAACAGAAGGTCAGAGGAAGCGGGAGTGGACTGCAGTGGGCTTGGAGTTTGTCCTTTTCTCTTTTCCAGCCACAAAGGCCTTGCCCCTAATAGTCTTTCCTCTGAGATCTGACATCCCACACTCCTGCTGCTGACCCCTCGACTTTGGCCCACAGCGGCCCTGTGTGGGCCAGGGCAGAACCGTGCATCGCAGGGTTCCCAGTGCTGGGATTTAGGGAGGTGGTTGCCAGGCCTTTCTTCCATGATGCCTCTGCTTTAGCCATTAGCAGGCAAGCATTTATTCATGCATGTCCACTGGGGGCTTCTAAATTGGACATGATCCCATTCTAGTGCCCATTTCCAGCCTGTCTATGTAAAAAACATGAAAAAAACCACACATGGGTGAATAAGAATAATAACTAAATAAACAACAAGAAGATAAATGAGAAAGAGCTGCAAGAAAATAAATACCAGCAACAAAGACAGCAGCACCAGCAGGGGCGCGGCACCAGTGCCCGTGACCTCGCCAACCCCTCCCTGACCAGCGCCCTGTTCCAGTCAAGGGATGGGCACGTGTTGGGTGTTCTACAGGCCCTGCAGGCCCCTCTAGCAACTGCTTCCTGTGCACTCTGTCCACATGTGCCCCTTGCTGGCCTGGGTGTGTCCACAAACCTGCTGAGAACCTCTTTTTACAGCCAGGGGAGGCTGGCAATCCCAGAATTCCAGGTGGTGCCGCAGAGCTGGCATTTTACCCACCCTCCCGCCACAGTGGGTGCACCTACCTTGTCACTATGGGGGGAAGTGCCTCTGCCTGGGAGCTGGCCCCTTGGCCCACCTGGCTGCCCCCCAACCAAGGCCGCTCACTTGGCAAAGACGGTACACCTGGCACCTGGCTGGGGCAACAAACCCTCTAGATGTGCCCATCTGACTGTTGCTGCCTCCTGGTCAAGGTGGTCCATCTGCTGAAGCAGTTCACCTGCTGACACTGCCCACCCAATGGTGGAAGCCCACCTGGCTTATGCTGCCCACCTGATGGACAATGCTGCCCACCTGATGGATGGAGGAAGCCCACCTGGCTGATGTCCACACAGTGGCCAAGGCCGTCCATATGACTGATGCCCACATGTTGGCCAATGTTGCCCACCTGATGAAGAAAGCCCACCTGGCCGACGCTGCCCACCTGGTGGAGGAAGCCCACCTGGTCAAGGCTGCCACTGTCCCTGGCGAGGCGCCGCAGCTTGCTCTCCAGGTTGACGATGCAGGCCTCCCTCCGCACCATCTCTATGCGCATCTCGTCATTCTTCTCCTCCAGCTCGCGGATCTGCTTGCGGTACTTGTCCTTCTCGATGAGGCACTGTGAGTACTGTGTCTGGGCCTCGTCCCGTGAGTGGAAGGCCTGGGGTGGGGCAAGGCCATGGGACTCACGGTGCAGGCCAAACGGGGAGGGCTGGACGCCTCACTGGCCAGAGATCCCCGACTGCCAAGCTCAGCTGTGGTTGGGCCAGCCCCACCATTGGTGCCACGTCAGACCACCTGTACGGCCCTTGAGGGGCATCAGTGCATGTCCCCGGGGACCCAACCTGCAGTCTCCCAGCTTCAGGGCCTAGGAGCCGGCCTGTAGCCCACCCTGACCAGAGACAGGGCCCTGGACTGCCTGCCTGCCTCGTGCTGCAGAATCAGCTCCTCTGCACCTGGCTCTGCTCTGCCTTGCCGTGCGAGGCTCAGGTCGCCAGAGGCCAAATGCTCGCCAACCCTGAGGCCTCGATGGACCGGACTAGTCTTCAGAGCAGAACACAGGGTCCTGACTTGGCCGCACCAGGGGTGGTGCCCTGCCCGGCTCTGGCCTGTCCCGCCTGCCCTGCCCGGTACCTGGTCTCGCTCCCGCTCCACCTCTTCCAGCTGCAGCATGACTGTGTTCATTCGGTGCCGGTACATCTCACAGTCCTTCCCAAGGGTCGAGCACTTCAGCTCCAGGTCCTCCTTTCCCTCCAGGTACTGCCAGCCCGGCGGAGAGACAACAGCCTGAGTTAGGCCATCAATCGGCAGCTCCTCAACCCAGACCTCGCCTGTCCTGCCAAGAGCTGAGGGGGACCGCAGTGCAGGGCAGCTGTGGAGGAGATTCTCCCCAGAACTATGGCCACAGGGGACCTCGGCAACAGCACGGGCTCAGGCCCCGGATCCGGCAGCAAAGTCAACCTCACCGTCAAGCAAGTCACACACGTTTCCTCGTGTATAGAAAAGTGTGGCAGGTGTGAGGCTGTGGTGTGTCAACTGACAGCATGATGAGAGTGAGGTGGTGAGTGACGGACAAGGGACAGGGACACGAGGTGAAGACATGTTGGAGAAATGGCTGAGGTACAGAACACAGGGTGGCTGCAGACCAAAACCCAACCCACGGCCGCATGGTGCCCTGACGCACCCCAGAGGGCAGCACGTAGAAAGAGGTGACCTGTACTGGCTGGTAGGGTGGGGATGCTGGGGGGGGGGGGAATGTGGTACCCTGACACACCCCAGAGGGGAGTGCACAGAACGAGGTGACCTGTACTGGCAGATAGGGTGGAGGTATGGGGGGGTGACCGTGGTGCCCTGACACAACCCAGAGGGGAGCACACAGAACGAGGTGACATCTACTGGCAGATAGGGTGGGGGTACTGGGGGGGACCGTGTGAACCTGCTGGCCTCCCGGGCCCACAGCTGGGGACAGGAAAGGCACTGAGCCATCATTTGTCACAGTTGTGGTTAACTGCCTCCCAGCAATCCCCCTGACGGGGACCCATAAACAGCAGGACACAGCGGTGCCAGCTCTGTGATGTCCCTGGGTGGTTCTGAGTTAGATGCTGTGGTGCAGAGGGTATCCAGGCTTTTCTTCCTATCTTTAAATGGACGCTCTGCTGAAACCTGTCCAGCAACACACAAGCCTTCACTGACGGGGTGGGGACTGTGTATGAGGAACTCTGGCTGGGACTCGAACCTGAGCCTCATGCCTGGAAGGTAAGGCTTCTACTCCTGGGCCACAGCTGCCATGTTCCGAGAGAAGGCTTACAAACAACAAACAATGTGGCTGACGGGGACGGGCGCTCCCTGGGATTCCAGCACACCCACCTTGTCACGCAGCTCCTCGGCCTGGCGGGCCTCCTCCTGCAGGTTGTAGATCTTGTTGACCAGCTCCTGCCGGTCCTCCAGCGCCTCCTTCCGGTCATGCTCCAGGATGTCCAGGATGGCCTTGTCTGAGTCAGGCAGGCTGCGCTTGCCGGCCTAGCGGTTTGGACAGGAGGGTCAGGGCATGTGTGCACATATGCACATGTGCATGAATCCATGAGCCCACTCAGTGCACGCGCACACACATACACACACACACACACACACACACACACACACACCCCTAAGCAGGGCTGAAGGCGGGGCTGGGAGCACTGCTCCGGTCCCCTGGTCTCTGGGGCCTGCAAGCTGCTTTTTGTTTCTTGGGATAGAAGCAGCCCCCTCCTGCTAGGACCTCCTGGCTCCCATCGTCCTGTGGGTTCTCACTGTAGTGAGAGGGGCACTGCTGGTCCTCAGGCACCTCAGAGGTTCTGACGCCGGTTCTGACTGACCTCCCAGGCACCTGTGCAAACCTCAGCTTATCTGCTGGGATTCAGCTAGAGGGTCCCTCCATGGGCAGCCAGTCCCTCGTTAAAGGGGACACAGGCCTCTTCCTTCCTCTGAAGCTCTTCCAGGAGATGTGACTTCTTCAGTCCTCCACTTCTACCCACAGAGGATCCGGGGTGACCCACACAGGGAGGCACTTGGGGTTTTAACAAATGGCAGGGCTGAGAGCAGGCTTTTGTGGGATGTGAAGGCAGCTGATTTCCCATGGGTTCTGGAGGCATCACCTCTACGGGGGTGAGGAGTATTTGGGGTCCCTCTCACCTAAGGAGGCCCTGCCTCTCTACAGCCTCAAATCCACTGGTGACTCTGAAGAAGACAGATGGGAAATCACATCCTGTGCCATTTCCAGCCTTGGTGTCCAGTGGAGGGCCAGCAGGGAGCCTAACCCGAAACCTGTCCAGCACGCAGCGTCCCGGCTCCCCCACCGGCAGCACCCACAATCCCCTGTCCAGCACCCAGAGTCCAGGCTCTCTCACACTGGCAGCGCCCATGATCCCCGTCCAGCACCCAGAGTCCTGGCTCCCTCACCGGCAGCACCCATGACCTCCCCGTCCAGCACCCAGGATCCCAGCTCCCCCACCAGCAGTTCCCATGACCCCCCGTCCCGCACCCAGCGTCCCCCACTGGCAGCGTCCACGACCCCCCGTCCAGCACCCAGGATCCCAGCTCCCCCACCAGCAGTTCCCATGACCCCCCGTCCCGCACCCAGCGTCCCCCACTGGCAGCGTCCACGACCCCCCGTCCAGCACCCAGGATCCCCCACCGGCAGCGCCCACCTGGATGACCGACTGCAGCTCCTGGATCTTGGTTTTGAGCATCTCATTCTCCCGCTCCAGCTCCAGCACCTGCTCCCTCTTGGGCCGGCTCTCGATGTCGTTCTTCAGCTTCAGGGACTGGTTCCGCTCCAGCTTACACTCTTCCTCCATCTTGTTCAGCCGGTGCTTCAGCTGGTCGATCTGGAATGAGCCTGTGGTGAGGGGCCCGTGGCTGAACCCCATCAGCACAACCCACCAGCACGACCTGAGTCCCACAAGCACAGTCCTCCCACCGTGAGGCAGAGCCAGACGGAGAGACCTCCTCCCGGAGGACCGACCACATCCCCTAGCTGCCCGAGAGGCCTGGCCGCTCCTGAAGAGCAGCCCTCTGGCTGTCGGGGGGGATGGGTCATTTCCATCCTGCAGAGAACTGCTCACAGGGCTCTCGGGCTGTAACCTTCATGGTAAGGAGTCCTGGTGGCACCATGTTGAAAAGCAGTCGGCTGCTGACTGGCGTGACCACTGGAAGCTCCTAGCAGCCCCCAGGAAGGAGACGTCAGCATCACTTCGGTAAAGACTCACAGCCTTGGAGAGGCTGCGGGCAGGTCCACTGCGTCCCACAGGGTCTGACTCACGCAGAGGGTGGCGTGGGCTAGTTCCTGGACGACATCTCCAGATCTTCCTTTGGCGGAGCCTTTGGTTAGCAGCCAAGAGCTTAATTGGTACACCACCAAAGCTCTTTCTAGAATGTTCCTAAATGTCCCTCATAAACTCTGGTGGCTTTTGTAAGGGGCAACAGGTATGACAACCAGCTCGTGGACCCCATAGGTGAGACGACAACTGTTCTCTGTAGAGTTTCCAGAAGCCGACTCTTCTGAAGCAGAGAGACAGGGCTTTCTTCCACAGTGCCTAGGGTCAGACTTGAACTTTCAACCTTTCAGTGAACAGTCCCAGTGCTTAACAGTTGACACCACCCAAGGCATTGGCACAGGTTACTGGTGTTTCTCTGAGGACTGAGTCATTGTCCTTGTATGATGAGCTTCAAGGCCTGAGCCAAGAAACCCAAGGATTTTCCTGAAAACCTCCAAGGTGATTGATGAACACGAATCCTGAGAGATCAAGGTCCTGCCTGGCTCCCCTATCTCCATCCTCGGAGCAGCTCTGCTAGTGGTAGGTTTCACTTACTTGGATTCCAAGTGAACTTTTGCAAGAACAAACACCTTTGCTGCTGAAAGTCAGCTTGAAATCCCCGAGACTGTAAACTCACAGGAGCTCAAACCTACATACTTTATGCACACAGAGACCAGAATTGGATGGTACCTGGCTACTTCTACCATGGAGAACAGAATTTCAAGTTCTCATGGACTTTAGACTTTCCGCAATCATGGATCCGGATGAAGCCAGGAAACTCTCAAATCTTTAAACCAAACAATGTTGCTGCTCTTTGTGCTGTTTCCGTTCACAGAAACCCGTGTGCAATGGAATGAGGGCCTGCCTGGGCCTCATTTCACAATCAAGGTTTCTTACATTCTCCGCCCCCCCCCCCAAATTATTTTACCAGTTTATATGTAAAAACAGGATGAGCATACAAATTATATCTAAAGTTTCAAATATGTTGATATAAAAATTAGGCTCACTTCAATTGTTGCAAACTTTACCTTGACTCATCAGTTTGGTCTGCACAGTTACTGTATTTCAAAATTAAAATCCATTGCTGTTGAGCTGTTACAGTCTTATAATTGAAGGTTGTTACAATCTTACAATTGAGCCAGCACGGGCTGTTGCAGCCACTGTGTGAATCCAGCCTAAGGAGGAATTTTCTCTTTTTGCTACTTTGTTTAAGGAGACTAGATAGTGTCAGAGGTTAAGTGGTGGGTTGCTAATTGAAAGGTTGGCAATTCAAACCCACTATGGCTCAGGGAGACAGATGAGGCAGGCTCTGCCTGTTAAGATTTACAGCTGCACAAACCCGGTGGAGCATCTCCAAGAGGCAGGATCCACTTGATGGCAGTGGCTCTTTCTATCTCTACTCAGTTTAGCTAGTAAAGAATGCCCACCCCCAATACTGTGCTCTTACAAGATTCATCCTAACATACAGATTTGGAATCAGTATACCTGGGATGGAAAGGTAAGTTCTCAACAGGGTTCAAAGGAGAATGAACACTTCCAAAGCCCCGTGGCCACTTCCATCGGAGCCTAACACACCTGGATTCCAGTTGATTGTTTACTGATCCGTCTGCTTCACTAAATTGTAAGTGACTTGAATGGAGTTCAGGTGATTTATCTCCGTGTCCCCCATAGTGCTTAGCACAGTACCTTACACATGGCAGGGGCCTAATAAATATTCCGAGAGCCTGTTTCCACCCAGCAGCCAGAGTGATCCTTCTAGGTATAAATCAGCTGTCACTCCCAGGCTCTCAATCCTTCAGCGGCTTCCCATCAGGACCAGAATAAATTCCAAAGCCCTTCCCATGTCCCCCTGTTCTGGCCCTCAGCCATCTCATTCACCAATTCCTAGCACTTGCTCGTTTGACTTCAGACCGACTGGTTCCGTTGTCTTGTTAGGTGGTGTTGAGCCTGTTCCAGCTCAGAGGGACCCCCATATAGACCAGAAACAAACCCTGTCAGGTCCTCCACCAGCATCTCAACGGCTACAAGGCCTGCACATTGTTACAGCCACTGTGTCCATTCATTTCGCTGTCATCCTTGATGACTGCCTGCCTGTTTCTTCAATGGTTTGTAAATCCCCCACGTGGCCCCATTAGGGCCTTCACACTGCCCCTCCCTCTATCCTTGAGACCAGCATGGTGAAGGTTCATCTTTTCTCAGGTGTCATCTTCCCAGAAGGCTGTCTCCTCACCAGGTTACCTAACCAAGCACCTCTCACTTCCAAAAAGGTGCTACTAAGAAAAAGGTTGTCAGTGTGACCCCACCAGCTGCTCTTTGGAAGAGAAGGAAGCATTTTCTTCTGTGAACCCTATGAGGCAGTCCCACTCCATCCTACAGACCCTGCGAGTTAGAAATGGCTGGACAGTAGGTGTAATTGGTTTGGTCGGTGTCTAACTTCATACTGCTCTTGAATGCTGTCTTGTGTCCTTGATTCTGACCTTGGCCATGCCATGTGTTCCAGGGCAGAACTGAACTCCAGGGTTTCTAGGGTGTAAGTTTATGGGGTCAGCCCACTATGTTTTATTCTGCAGAGCTGATGGATGGGTTTGAATCAGCAAAACCCTTTGTAACCCCAAATGACTTTCTTTTCTTCATAGGGCTTATTTCTACTGAGCCTCTGTTTTGACTGGAAAGTAAATCCTCTGAATACCTCAGAGTTTTAAGTCTATATCCTTGGCATCAGAGACGAGTCTGGGAGGCCCTCAGTATGTAGAAAGAAAGTGAATGAAACCACCTCCCATCCTTTGTTCCCAAGGCCCCTCATTAATCCTTTCAGTCATTTCTCTGGACAGTCTTCTACTTGGTGGCAATACTTTGCCAAGAAACAAAAGTACTCAGCTGGTAACTGGAAAGTAGTTTGATCCCACACAATGGCCTCACGGGGGACAGGCCTGGAGACCTGTCTCATAAAAATGGTAACTGCTCCAGTCAGTTTTGGACTATCTTCAGCAGGATTTTACTAGTGTGTGATATTAGTAATATTGTTTTATAATTTCCACAATCTGTTGGTCACCGTTTTTTTGATTGGGATATGGCTTTCATACAAAACCAACTAACAAAGAAAAACAAGCCCAAAACACACACAAACTCTAAAAAAATTGCCAGTTAAGGAAACCCCATGGGGCAGCACTGCGTCACACGAGGTTGTCAAGAGCATACAGTGGAACCCGACAACATTTTGTGCTACTACCAGGGCGGGGCTCTGCGGATACAGCTGTAAAGGACCAAGCTCTAGGGGATGAATGGTGAGTCCAGTTCCTTTACAAGTATGAGCGCTAGAGTCCCTTGGATGCCTGTACGCCTCCCTCTCTCGGCCCTCCATAGGCCATGCACGGTGGATCTGGGTCACAGGCTGGGCCACAGGTCATGCGCATGGTGCATCTGCCCTTGGGAGAAGAGGAGGAAACCCACACAGCCATTGTGCACACGGCGGACCTGGGGGGCGAGGCCTGAATTGATGCCCGAAATCCCTGCTAGAGCTGGGACATGTCTGCACATGCGCAGTTCTTAGTGTCCCTTGGCGGGAGGCCCCAGCAGCCCCTGCGCATGCGCACACACACTTGGCTTGCACACCCCCGAGGCACCTCCAGATGCTTGGCTCCACTAGATCTTTATGCACGTGTCTATACATGTGTAGATGTAGGTTCACAGCCTGCGGGCCATGCCTCTAGGCCTCACGAGGCTTGTGGACATATCGTATGTGCATGGTTGATCGGGGCCTCAGGTAGTGGCAGGAAACCCCTCATTGGGATTCCCCCCCCCCATTGGGCGTGTGTGCGCAAGTCTGCACTTGCACAGATCTGGAATGTCGTCCCTGCCCATGAACGCCCTTCAACTGTCAGCGCAAGGCTTCAGGGCTGCACACCTGCTGCACATACCTGTGTGATGACCTGGGACCCCAGCAGCATTTGCCTTCCCGTGAGGCCCCCTCGGAGCAGCTGTGTACATATGTCCTCACCTCGAGCTGGAGGTCCCGGCTCCTCATCACCGCCATGTTCTTCTCCTCGCTGAGTTGGGCATAGCGCATGGCCAAGTTGTAGTTGTCGTCCTTGACCTTGACCAGCTCGTCGTTGTAGCCGTCTCTCTCCTCCTTCATCTTGTAGTAGCGCTCCTGGAAGGTCAGCAGCTCCACTCGCGTCAGGGTCAGCTGCTTCTTCTCATCCTCCAGCTGCCGAGACTTGGCCAGCAGCTCACAGCGCTGCAGGTCCTTGGCCTTCATCTGCTGCTGCAGCTTGATAACCTCGTTCATCAGGAAGTGCGTGAGGCCCTCGTGGCCCTCCTCCACTGCGGACAGGGGAAGCCAGTCAGGTCCATGACGGGAGAACCGAAGAGGGGGCCAGACATGGGCGGGGAAGACCAAGAAGGGGTCCAGGTGCAGGCTGGATGAGCTCAGGAGGGGGAGTAGGCTAGGAGGGCCAAGGAGAGAGCCAGATGGGGATTAAAAGGGCCAAGGGCGTCAGATACGGATTAGGAGGACCTGAGAGTGGACTGGTGTAGGATGGAGGAGGAGGGGTCCAGGCATGGGCTAGGAGGGCCAGCAAGGAGGTCAGCACGGCCAGGTGTCACTCTTAAAGCTTCCATTCAGCAGCGTCTTACTGAGTTTTTTCTGCTCAGGTAGGGTGGATCACACAACCGTGGGCCTCTAACGGTGATTGTGATCCTCTCAGAAACCAGTAGAGGGTTGTGGAGAGTCAGAACTGACTAGACTGCCGAGGATTTCAAGGAAGATGCAGGCATAATCAGGGGCCATGAGTTCAGTTCCACAGCAGCTCAGTAAAGCATATGAGCCCGTCCGCTCACTCTAACGGAGCTGACTGGCTACAGCCACCGTCTAGGACAGAATTGAGCTGCCCTCAGGGCTTTTGAGGCCGCAAATTTTTACAGACGCAGACTGTCTCATCTTTTTCCTGCCAAAATGGAATCCACATGGGTTGTGGAATCCCAGAACATGTAAAAGCAATGTGTGCATGACTGTAGTCTACTAACTGTGCAATACCATGACAAGGAAGCATGAAACGGTGCAAGAATGACTGCAGTGGGACAGAGGGGGTGTGAGCACGTGCTGCTGGGAACCTGGGGCACAAGTGCCGCAAACCATCACCTTAAAAAAGACGCAGTAGCTGTGCAGCTCAATAAAACAAAGTGCAAGGAAACACCGTCTGCCTGGATTTAGAAAAAGGTGGAGGAACACCCAGCACAACTCATTGTCCCCGACTGATCCTGGCTCTTGGCAAGTATCTGTTGGGTGGGTAAGGCTGTAAACCTCGATGGGTGAGGCCTCTAGATCTTTCTTGGAGTTGCGGGTGGATTTGAACCACAAGAGATGCACAGTGTTCTGGTTAGCAGTGCAGCTCACTAAGGCCTATGCCACGAGGGCTCCTTTAACAAGAGCAGATTACCTATCTTGTCTCTGGAACGGCTGTAGGTTTGAAATGTCCAGCTTCCAGTTAGCAGAGGACTACCTGGCTGCCAGCCTGTCGACCCACCAGACCACTGTCCTCATGCACAGGCTCCGGAATTAGCACTGCCTCGTGTGCTCTCACAAGCACACACAGGCACGTGTACCCCTCCCACTGCAGCTCCACCACCACCAATGTGCTCTGTCCACCGCACGTGCACATACATACAACACACACAAGCATACACCTCTACCCCTCCCACTGGAGCCCCACCCCTGGAGGCACAGACACCCGCGATGGTTCACTGTCTCACCAAGTGTACACACACACACACACACACACACACACACACACACACACAACCCTCTACCCCTCCCACTGGAGGCAGAGACACCACTATGGTTCACTGTCCACCATACGCGCGCGCGCGCACACCCCTCAGCCCCCTGCTCCTGGAGGCACAGCCACTTACCCACGATGGTGGAGAACCTGCGGGTGGGCTCCTTCCCAGTCACCAGCTTGTACAGCTCCGGGTAGTAAAACTCCAGGCTCTCCAGGAAGACCACATAGCCCCGCTGCCCCTTGGTGTGGAGAATGTCCAGCAGCCGGCCTGGAGGAGACCCCACAGTGAGAGGTACCCACTTCAGTCCACCTAGCTGGACACGGGTCCTGTCTTAGTCTGGAATCATAGCCCTCAATAAACTCAGAAGAAGGCTTAATGCATCCTGTTAACACTGGGATTGTGTATTTTCTTCGTAATTTAACTTTTCTCTGTGATTTGGGTGAATCGGTTTTCCACCCAGTGATTCACACATTCTAGTTTTGCGATGCCCTGGACTGTGACCACGTTCTTCCCTCTTGCTCCCTGTGTTTCCCGTTTCTGGCCTTCCTTCCTGACCTGTCCTGCCTTCTGAGCTCCTGCTCTGGGAAAATGCTACCTTTTGATCCCATATGGTTCCTTGAAGGCCCTCAAAGTGTCTTCTAGGCTGTGTTCTTAGGGGAACAGAGCCTCAAGTCTTTCTTCTGCAGATACTGCATGGGTATGAACCAACAACTGCTTCCATTAGCAGCCAAGAGCTCAGCCTCTGTACCACTAGGACTTCTCAGCTTCCCCTTAAACCCGAAATCCGCTGCCCCGAGCCAATTCCGACTCTAGGACAGAGCAGAACTGCCTCATGGAGTTCCCAAGACAGACTCTTCATGGAGCGGGTTGTCTGTCTTTCTCCTGCTGAGAGGCTGGGGGGTTCACACCAGTGACCTTTTGGTTAATAGCTGGGTTGTTTTAACCCACTGCACCCCAGGATATTTAAGTTAGTAAACTAAAGATGGCATTTCCCCTCATGCATGTTGACAGAGCCCTCTAAGCCTGCTCCTGGAAGACCCCAATGAGATGGATGGATGAGTGACCGCAGCACTGGCTCAAGGAGGGCAGCGATGAGGATGGCCTGGGATGGGCAGAGCTCACAGCCACTGCTCAGAGGGGCGCTAGGACTTGTGGTTGACTAGACGACAGAACAAGAGCATGGACTGCTGGTTTGGGGGCTGGGACAGAAGCCCATGGACCTCTATGTAAAAATCCCCAACCCCGGGCAGCTTCTCTATGACACGGCTAATGGCAGGGCGTCTTCTGAGGTCTCGGTGCGTGCACGTACCTGCCCGGTTGATCTTGGACGGCAGCATGGGGGCGCTGAGCACCTCGTCCTCGTCCTGCTCATCGATAACCTTGCACTGGCGCAGGTAGGGCGTGAGCTTGGCCGGGTTGATGTACCGGCTGAGCATGTGCCGGTTGCACTCGACGTTCTCCCACAAGGCGTCCTCCTCGTCCTTCAGCGTCTCCATGTAGTCGTCCATCTCTGGCCCTCCTGCTTCTAGACACAAACCCAACAAAATCCGGTAGAGGACATCTCCTCAGGAGCGCTATCAACCTCTCGTTGTCACCGCTAGAAGGCATTACTGTAGGCCAAAGAGTCAAGTGGAGAAGATGTTGGACGGTGAGCTGACACCTCGTATTGACTGTTGTTCTCAGTGGCTGGGTGGACATTGAACTGTGTCCTTCACAATGTGATCTGGTGTAACCACCTTCCACAGTGTGATGTAATGTGAGCAACAATCAGTCGAAAGGGAGTTATCCTGGGGTTGTGGCCTGCATTTAGGATATAATCTGACGTTCTGGCAAAGTTCACTCTCCTTTTTAAAACCCACACTCTTGCTGTTGTTACCTGACTTCCCATTCTTGGGACACAAGCCTGGAGAAGTTTCTAGCTTGCTCCCTGATCTGCAGATGTTAGAGCCCCCAGGCGTCACCCTGGGAGAGCTCGAGTCTGACATCTGACCTGCAGCCTCTGGAACCCTGTGATGCAGTGAGTGACTACAAGGATGAGCTCAGACGTGGCAGGGACGGTGTAGGACAGGGCAGGGTGCAGATCTGCTGTTCACGAGGTCACTGTGACGGTCAAGTCCACAGCACCCAACAGCATCACGGGGAGGGAGCTAGCAGAGCTTGTCAGCCTGCCAGCAACTCATGGTTCGGGCCTCTGCTGTCTCCACAGTTGTGTGAGCCGCATCCGTAAAGTAAATGTCTCTCTGTATTATATACACTTCTCTGGTCTTGCTCCTCTAGAGAACACAGACTAAGACAAGGACATACGAGACTTCACCTTTTATCTAAGAAGGGACGAGGACCCAAATACAAATCTCTGTTTGCCTACATACCAGAAACACTCAAGGGTAAACGATACATGTAGGTCAATGCCAGCGCGTTGGGACTAATTCCTAGCTGACACTCCTTGGGCTTCTGAGGCTGTGAATCCCATGGGAGGAGACTGTCCGTTTTTCTCCCATGAAGCTGCTAATGGATTTGGACACTTAGAGTGGCAAAGCCTTTGGGTTAGTAGTGTAATCCCACCATCTCTTATCTATCTATAGATTTTTTTTCCAACACACATCCATATTGAAATGTCATGCATCAAATGTGTGTATCCCTGCATGTATCTGTCGTGCCTGTTGATGCACTTGCCGGTTTACACACGTTATTACTGGTAATGTAGGGCTGTGGATTTAACAGTCTATTGCCGGGTATAACTCTTGCACACCTTCCCTAGTCTTCCTTTCCTTTAGCGATGTTAGGTTATCATTTTTAAAAAGATTACTTAGCACAGGAAGGAGGGAGGAGGAGGGACAAGGATACATGCTAGATTTACTCCAATATACTTTGCTTTATACACACAATAACTCAGAAAACAAAATTGAATTAAAAGAAATCAATCTCTAATGTATAAGGCTATGAAAGCTTATATCCAGGCAGTGGCTCAGCCAGTCAGAGAGGAACACCCTTTAGTGGGGGATGAGTCGCCTAGACGTCCCTCACGGGACATGTGGCAAGGATGAGAGGACGAACAGAGTCATCATCTTAGACGGTGGCTGAGAGCCCTGCCCCCTCAGCCATGTCATGACCATTCTGAGAAGACAGCTGCACGTCTAGTTTGGAGGAAGGCAGATAAGAAGTTGTGCTGATGGAGGAGAAATCTGGGATTCTGGGAGTGGTGCTGGAGCAGTCTGAATTTTATTAAAATGTCCAAAGCAGAAGACAAGTAGACATGGTCAGGCTAAGTAGATCACACCCTGACCAGACAGAATTGGCAGACGATATTTTACATTCATGGTAGAATATGCGGTTGCCACATCCAGGTACAAGGACCTTGGGTGGACAGTGTGGAGGGCAGTGTGCTGCTGACACAAAGGTGGTGCCTTCCACCAGTGACTCCTTGGAAGAAAGACGGACACTCTTCTTGTGCCTTTATGACTCTGCAAACCTGCAGACGGGGCAGTGAGGAGCTGGTTCTGACTTGACAGCAATGCGTTTGGATCCATGTACACAGCGGATGTAATGAGGAGAAGTTTACACAAACGTCTTAATCATGATCAACATCTGGAGGCAATGAGTCATTGCTATGAGGGTCTCAGGACCACAGTCCTGGGGAACATCAAGGTTGTTGACTTATGGTCCATGGTCCATAAAGACAATGTTCTACACCCTACCTTGGTGACCGGGTCTTAAAAGCTTGTGACCAGCTAAGGTGCAACTACTGGTCTCTTCCTACCCAAAGCAAAGAAAAAGGAAGAGAGTCAAAGATACTGAGGAACAATCCATCCAAAGAATGAATGGACCATGTGAAGTTCAGCTTCTACAACCCTGAGACCAGAGCAACCAGACGGTGCCCCGCTGCCACTGCTGACCACTCTGAAAGAGATCATGGTAGAGGGTCCTGGACTGAGTGTGTGAAAATGTGAAGCAAAACTGAAAAACATAAAAATGGGCAGGTCTGATAGAGACTGGTGGAACCCCCAAGACTATGTCCCTTAGCCACCCTTCAAAACTGGAACAGAATTCATCCTTGTGGCTCAAACTGTAGCCAAAAACAGACAGGCCTATAACCCGGACAGTGACAACAGCAAAGTACTCACTTCTTAGAACAGGCAACCACATAAGCTCAAAAGGGCAGCATTTGCCTGGGGCTAGAGCTCAGACAGCAGGAAGTGGTAGGATAGCAGAACTGATAGACATGAGAGCCACAGGGAGGAAGTGGGAAGAGTGCAGTTACATTGTGGATATTATCAGTAACGTCATAAAGCAAAGTATAAATGGCTGAATGGAAAAACAATCTGCTCTGTAAACCTTCACTAAAGTCACAGAAACAATCAAAACTGGACATATTGAAAAACAAAATACAGTCATATTCTAGGGTAAAAATGGTTACAAAAGTAGTTTTGATTATAATAATCTTTCTGGTCACACGGGACTTTGACATGACACTCTCCTCTTGAACTTGGACAGGGCTCTTGGACAGTGACCGCCTCCATGAACAGAATGTGATAGAAGATGCTCTGTGATTTTGAAGCTGAGACATTTGAGATAGTATAGCTTGTTCCTCACTCAGTTTCTCTATGTCTCTCTCCTGGTCTGTTGTACTCACTCTGGAACCCAGACATCATGCTATGAGGAAATCCAAACTAGCCTAACCAGAGAGACCTCATGGTGAGGCCCCTTCAGGGAGAAACTGAGGCCTTCATCTGGCAGGCAGCACTGACCCATCACCACGTAAATAAACAAGTTTCCAGATGGCTCCTGACCCAGTGCTGAGTCTTCTAGCTGAGATCCTGGACACCATGGAGCTAAAGCAAGCTGCCCTGCCCAAATTTCAGAAGGTTTTGAAATAAATAAAAGTTGCTTTAAGTAATGAGGTTTTGGGTGGTTATTACAAAGCATTAGTTACCCGAAAGAAGCACAGATAAAACTGTAAAGTTACTGACGGGATGAAGCCTACTGTTCACACTGTGACCCTGTGGGAGGGACAGGAGCTGCTCCAGATTTTCCAAGGCTGTACTCTTTCAGAAGCTGACCACTTTTTTCTTCCATAGGACAGGTAGTGAATACAAACCACCAACCTTACTGTTTTCAGCCCAACAGTTAACCCACTGTGCCACCTGGGTTCCTAATTTAAAGCCTGCTGGTATTAGAGACTGTGAAATGGCACAGGCTAGGACAGGGCTCAGCTCTGCTGTTCATAGGGCCATTATGAGTCGTACTCGATTCAATCACACCTAACAACAACAAATCTTGGGGAAGACATAGCCAGATTACTCCCTAGAGGCAAAGATGATAAAGCTTTGAATTATAGATTTTTGGGCATGTTGCTAGGAGAGGATATTCCTAGAAGAGGGACGGCATGCTTTGAAAGGTGGAGGGTTGGTAAAAAAGAGGAAGAACTTTGACGAGATGCATTGACACCACAGCTGCACCAATGGGCTCACGTGTGTCTGAGGCTGTGAGGACAACACAGGATAGGATAGGATTCGCTACAAATTGTACTTAACTTGATGGCACCTGACAGCTACAACAGTCCTGCATGGAGGCCTACTGTCGAGAAGTTGCTTTTTAATCCCCAAGACATGTGGTTTAGATCCACCAGCTGCTCCACAGGAGGATAGGCAAACTCCTCACCTGCCTCCGGAAACCTGGAAGGTCAGCACTGGGTCAGTTCTGACTTGACAGCAACAGCTGCAACAAGTCCTGAAAGTCCTGATGTGCAGACAGCAAAACCATAGTGGTCTCTAGTGGCTGGTTTTTTGGAAGGAGATGGCCTGGACTTTCTTGCAAGGTGCAGTGTGTGTGTGTGTGTGTGTGTGTGTGTGTGTGTGTGTGTGTTCAAAGCTCCAGCCTTTCAGTTAGGAGCTGTGCTCGTTCACATTTGCAGCACCTGGGATCCACCACCACCATCACATCACCGTCACCATCATCTTCCCATCATCCCCGTCATCACCACCACCATCATCACCACCAAGAGATTCCAAGTACCTGGCATTCAGCAGATGTTCAGTGAGCAGGGGCTGCTAGGCTGTTATTTCTGGTGGGGCTTCGTCACTCTGCACGCTGTTCTCTGCTCTGGACTTGGGCTTCAGATTGCCGGGATCTGTAAAGGGAAAGACCCATCAGATCTGAAGCGAGTGGAAGTTAGAGAGATGCTCACCCAGATATGAGGAGGTTTTTCACGGCACCAAAGCTCAGGAGAGTTTGTGTGGCAGTGTCCCCCCAGCAGCACCAATGGAGCTCACAGGCACTGATGGGTAGAGGGGCCATCAGGATGATCAAGGGTCCCAGGCCCCAAGCCCCAGGGATGAGAGCAGGTCTGAAGCTTGAAATATCAGGGCCACTCACAGTGTGGGCACCTCTTCTGCTCTGGAAACAGCCGTGGCAGAGGAGAGACATTCTAATTAGTAAATATTCATCAGGTCAAAGGTGGCCCACGGCATCCCTGCCTGGGAGGGTCCTCTCACTGTGAGTTATGTCGTCAGCCTCC